TTTTATAAAATATTTCGCATACCAAAACGGATGTCACAAACTCTTTAGTTTAGGTGATTGAATTCCTATTACAAGTGATATATTTATTCTTTGGGATAAGTGTATTACTTTTAGTATTGTATTCAATCATCTAAACTATTTAAAATGTGAGACCCGTTTGGTCTCACCTATTTTAAAATTAAAATGTTACTTTTAAAAATTAAAAAGGTAATATTCATATTTAAATTATTTTCAAAATCACAAAACCATCACTTTTTCAAATTACGAAGTTGAAACGGCCGACAGTGGGCAACATTAACATTTCCTCTAGAGCCATCTTTTTCAGATCGTCATCCAAATCATGTTTGAAGTTCACAGGCCTGTCTGACAACCCTTTCGTTTCAGTAGGTTTTGAACTCTTAGCACCAATATTCTTTTCTTTTGAATTATGTAAATCCTTGGAACATCGCCCCCTCTTCAGCCTCTGTTGAATAATCTTTTGCAACCATTCTTCTAGAACATTCATTTTCTCCTTAGAGACCTTTCCCATCAGAACAAAATCAAAGTAATGATGGATTTCTGAAAGTAAAGGGGAGGAGCACAAGGACAAAATTTTAGATACTTAATGTTCCGCAAGGACAAGCGTGACACTTAAAAATCACACAGGGAGTTAGCACAAAAAACTTTTATAACCACCAAAATTGATACCATTATTACTAATATTATCTTTTTATTATGACAAAATGACAGTGTATTGGCGGGCGAAGCAAATGTCCTCGTAGTATTGGCGAAGCAAATGTCCTTGTAGTATCTGATAATCCCAAAAACTTAGCATCAAAGCATCCTCTAAAATGGGTAAGTTTCCAACTTTTCACATTCTACTCCACCGCTTTTTAAGAGTGCACACCTCCTAAGTGACTGAAATGAGTCATATCTTTCGGAACAATATGCGATTTTGCCCTCGACAAGGAAAAATCTGCCTGAAACATCTACGAGTCATAATCCTTGAATGGGTTGCTTCCATCATCAAAATGTGAAGGATTATGAAGGAAAGATAGTCCAAATTTACCAAAGACTACTCGCAACTACTTCTTGCAGTCGTAGCTTTCGAGCCCCCGAAGAAGGAGCTTGACTTTAATGGTAAAATCATGTGACTACTCTTCAAAGCATAGAAAAAATAGTTTATGAGTGATGGAAGGCATCGCTTCGATCGAATAAGAGTAGATATGTCTCCAAACAAACCCAACAGAGCTGAACATTTGTTGCGACTTTCTTGTCCCTCTAGCCGCGTATAGAGGTAAATTATTCTCTTACCCTTTTACTCTCTTATTTTTCTTGCAGTATCCTATCAAAGAGCTAAGAGAATTAGGGAACTAAAAATATACCCAAAAATTAGTTTTTAGCAAATAGGAAAGCCTAAATACTATATTGACTTAATGGATCAAGCTCACCAGCTATGCATTTGGTGGTATGGCACTGACCAATCAATCATATTCATTAGTCGTACCTTTGGAAGTAACATCTTGCAAAGCTCCTTACTGTCCAGAAGGATGTTGCGAGTGCCTCCGAAGTATGTCACCATTCCAACAAGTTTCTCATAATAGGTCTACCCCATTTCAATCTTCAAGTGAGTCCTTCTGACCAAACTTACCTATATTATCTGAGTTTTTATTACATACTTGTACAAGTAGGTTGAGCTACCTGACTAGATCAACGAGCTCGGCAAGCAGCTCTCCGAGGAAGAGGGAAGGGAATTTTCACCTGTTATCATACATATCATCATTTATTAATAACATGACAATTCACATAAGCAATCTTCTCAATGTGCTTAAGTCCCCTACTACATAGCCTATAATCTAATTTTATGATTATTTTGTAGACTCCTGCAAGAGTACATAATCTACTGAGTATATAAATAAAAAGAGCTAAAATAAGGGGACGTTTTTTTTTTTTTTTCTACTCTCTCTCTCACCCTCTCTCTCAATCTTGCACTGCCAAAATACTCTAAAATCCCCCCCTTCATTTTACTCTGTTATCGCTCCCGAATTGTATGCGTTCACAAATTATATAGGACCTCGCGTCCCAAAAGAATTCAACAAGTATGAAATCGCCCTTCTAAATCCAAGGAAGAAAATAGAAGTGATGGTGGCACGGGAATGCAAAACAATTAAGGAATAAAAAACATACTCCCCATTCTTCCTCCATTCATAATTTCTCATATTAACTTCACATGAAAGAGTCCAGATTGCAACTGAGATAAAGTTCATCTGTTAAATATAGATATACCCAAAATAAGAAGTTGCATATACCAACTAAAAATCACATAAATGGGCAAATGGCATATAGAAGAAAGAATAAAAAAAAACTAGCAGGCACAGTTTAGACTTCGTAAATATAAAATCATAGGATAAGCAATTCAAAATAGGGCATTCAATTCTTATGTATTTACTTATCTAACACCTAAACTTTTATTTTTACATTCATAACGCTCAAATCTTTCTTCTCACATCGAAAATGCCGCTATGTTAACTTTTAAAAAGTTAAATGTGTCTTTTTTATGCATATATAAGGTGACATGAATGTAAAAATTGAAGTTTCGGTGTTAGCACAAAAATATATAAGAATTAAGTGGTATCCTTCTAAATATTGCTTCGAAAAGAATGATGATTTACCAGTGATACACCTCCAGAGCCAAGCTCGCACATTGTGTTCAGATTTACCTCAGCAATCAATAATCCTGTCACCACCTGCAGATTAACGTCACCAAGCAGTTACAAATATTCTCAACCAAGCAAACAATAGCTCATTTTCCGTTCATTCTCATGCAAACAGATGCCCATGAAAAAACTGTTTCATCAAATTTTACACACCGCTAATAGAAGAAAAGATTGCTAAATTTATGGTCAGAATCTTACCATATAAATCCAACAAAGGATGCATGTTATTGCGGAGGCCAGAAAGCCAGCTTCTTGTGTAACCGCAGGGATTGCTAGTATACCCGCGCCTACCTATAAACAGTAAACAACTTTGGGTACAAATTTGCTAGAAAACAACAAGACGTCCCTAAACAATGTGCTTCTCCTAAAATAAATATAGGTATATTTATATAATAGAACATTTTTTAATAAAAATTTAATGCGCAAGCAAGAAAAAAAAAGCATACCGTGGTTCCAGCCACCAGAAAGATGGCGCTGGTTATGCTGCCTGAAAAGCAACAGCAAGTCCAGCTCAATTCTTAATCTAGAAAAGGAAGAATGGAAACAAATGAATGGAATTAGAGATTGGAAGGTAAACCTGGCTCTCTTTTCATCGTTGCTTGGTTCAAATTCGAGAAGAGCCTTTCGAATTCTTCCGTGGCTTGTTTCCGAGAGAAGCATCTTAGGGTTTTCGGAGGAGAGTGATGGAAAGGAAATGATTTCGAAGAATTTTTGGACGGGAAAGATTTGATGGAAGGCAATGCAGGTCTTCTTTGCAAGTTGACTGATGGAGGTGAAATGAAAATGGAGGAAGCTGAGGCCGGATACATTTCTCCACCTCTCGTCTTCCTCGGCAACTAGTGATCGTCTGCAGATTTGAGAAGCCAAGCGGAACCACTAGTACATTTGGACGCTAACCGTGTGTGTGTGTGTGTTTTTTGTGTTCGAAAAACTTTGTTATTCGTATTTTAAATAGTTGGGTGGTACAGTGATAATATGCTGTATAAAAGTTTGATACACATTGAGAAGATAAAAATTAAAAAATAGAGACAATTAAAATTTTTATGTGAAAAATCTGAAAAGAAAAAAATCATTGAGTATAGCCCATCTGTAACAATTCATTGTGAGTTAGTGATTTCATGTACATGTCATTGTCCAACAGACAGGAAATGACACAGTTCTTCAATGTACAATATTGTTATATAATTGTTGCGAGTGATTGTAATTAGGAGTAGTCGTTAAAACTTGAGTGCACCGTCTTCAATGTGTTGATGCAAAACGTTCAAAACAATGCACACCTCCTTTAGCTGCTGCTTTTCTTTGTAATGTGTGACTTGATGTTCCAACATACATTGTGATTGCATGTGGTGCTTATTGCAAGCGGTGGGTGATTGTCGACGATGATCAGTGGTTGTAGGAGGATGAAGTGTTCATCGAGTATTGGAATTCAACTCATTCTTTGCAAACCAAATACAAACAAAGCTATTCTTCTTCTTTAAGTCCTAAGTCACTTTTCACAAAGGGAGTATGACTCTATTTATAAAGTTTAAGAGTGACATCCCTGCAAATAAGAAAGTAGTTCATACCACTTCATTGGATTATCTGAAGAGATTCACTCAATTTGGCAGTATTTTATGAACAGCAGAGTCTATCAACGATGTCAAAATTGAGCGATCTTGGGCTCGTTGGACTCATCTCGTTGAGACGCTTGTTTTATCCATAAACTTGTCAGATTTGAAATATGTTTGACCTTTAAACTTAGCACCATAAGCTTTAAAAAATGGCCAAATAACTCAATCAAGAATTAATTTGACTCAAATTTAACTAAATTTGGTATTGTTGTGTAGTCTCCTCGAAATAGTCAATTTAGTTGTAAGTTTGTTGAAAAAAGATTTCTCGATAATTTATAATTTAAATTTGAACATTTTTTGCTCAAAAACGGTTTTGAAATTCATGTTATATATATATATATATATACATAGACACACAAACACACACACCATGGCAGCATACTAAATAGATGTTGAATTAACAAAGATGTATCTTACTCACGCAAAATTGAATCTTCAAAGATTGAGTCTTCCCCTTCCACATCCTATCCAAAAAAAAAAAAAAAGTTAAAGCAAATTGGTATAAAAAAGGACCCAATACTAAC